GTCAAATATGGAGGTGGAAACATTATGCTTTGGGGGTGTTTTTCTGCCAAGGGGACAGGACAATTGCACCGCATCAAAGGGAGGATGGATGGGGCCATTTACCGTCAAATGTTGGGTGAGAACCTCCTTCCCTCAGTCAGGGCATTGAAAATGGGTCGTGGTTGGGTATTCCAGCATGACAATGATCCAAAACACACGGCCAAGGCAACAAAGGATTGGCTCAAGAAGAAGCATATGAAGGTCATGGAGTGGCCTAGTCAGTCTCCAGACCTTAATCCTATAGAAAATCTGTGGAGGGAGTTGAAGGTTCGAGTTGCCAAACATCAGCAACGAAACATTGACTTGGAGAGGATCTGCAAAGAGGAGTGGGTCAAAATCCCCCGAGATGTGTGCAAACCTTGTGGCCAACTACAAGAAACGTCTGACCTCTGTGATTGCCAACAAAGGTTTTGCCACCAAGTACTAAAGCACGTTATGCAAAGGGATCAAATACTTATTTCATTCATGAAAATGCAAATTAATGTATAACTTTTTTTGTAACTGACTGTATGTATGTATGTATGTTTATACACACACACACACACACACACACACACACACACATATACAGACAGACAGAAGAAGTTTTATCTCAGTGTTGTTGTGTGTGATTTTTTAGCAAACGGTCTGCGGGTTTGACCTGCTCAGAGCCAACGGCCACTCCTTCGTCTGCGATGTTAACGGCTTCAGCTTCGTCAAAAACTCCATGAAGTACTACGACGACTGTGCCAAAGTCCTAGGGTAGGTGACATCGGCTTGGTAAACACTGAGCTGTAACTTTTCTACCACTTTAAACATCATTTTGAGTAGAATACTGAAATATAATTGGAGTTTTATTTGTGACCATAAGCTCACATACCAATATGAAACCAAACCTAACCCTCAGGAAGCACAAATATATCAAAGCATCTCAATAAAGCTAACATTTTTGAAAACCATTCCTATGTTTCCAGTTCCTGTACTGGGCTTTTGCTTTCCAGGGAGGAACACTGCACATGTTTTAGTGTTTGACTCTGTACCAGAGTCAAATTCCTTGTGTGTCCAATAAAGCTGATTCTGATGTGCTGTAATTTGTATAATCTGGACTGTAGCTACTTAGCAGCAAGTGTGACTTGTAGTAAGAGAACCAGCACTGGGCTCGATCGAAGCTTTTTGGATTATCTTAATGCACCTAGTTCCATTTAGTTGCATATCCAATGAATTCTGAGACAGCTTTAACATTTTAAATTACTATAAGACTGACTGGCACAAGGAGGAGTGTGCAGAATGAATGGCCTGTGTTTGTCTGACTCATCAGGAACATTGTAATGAGGGAGTTAGCGCCACAGTTCCACATCCCCTGGTCCATCCCCATGGAGGCTGAAGACATCCCCATCGTTCCAACGACCTCAGGAACCATGTATGTTTTGAAAAACAAAATTGTTATGGTTATTTGGTGTCCAGGGCTCCTGGACAGCCTGGAAAATACAGTTGATCAGTGGATTACTCTGCATATGACTCACTTGAGTTTCTGTTTTAACGTTGTCCCATCCCCTTCTCTAATTTCTTCAGGATGGAGTTGCGCTGTGTTATTGCCATCATCCGGCATGGAGATCGCACACCAAAACAAAAGATGAAAATGGAGGTCCGACATCCTCTGTAAGTCTTGTGATAGAAATTGTATTAAATCAATTAGAAATCAAATGTAATGTTAAAGCTGCAATATGTAACTTAAGGTAGCACTAGTATGAATCTTCAAATCAATGCACTCTCCTCCGCCCAGCGCTCCCTCTCCCTGCTCCATTGTGCTCTGCCCAGGTCTTCAGATATGTCTTTATGAAATAACCGTAAATGAGAATGCAGCAAAACTTAATGATAAAGCAGAAATAAATGAAACTCTGACTGGTCAGTCCTGCTCAAAACCTTTTAGAATATCTCTGCACTGCTGCCAGTGCTGTTCAGTGAGTCTGGGTCACAGGAGGTTTCGACAGCACCGCTCCACGTTAAGACACGTTTTGGAGCAGATTTCTACAGCGAAAAGATCTGAATAAAATTACATACTGTAGCATTACCCAAAAAATAGCTTTTATGTTTGAGATTGTTAAGCTGTTGTTCAAACTCTTACATTTTTGTGTTGTCCTGTGTGTTCCTATGTTGCTGTCTGTCTGGTGCCCTGCTATCAGAATAAGGCCACAGTGTTCTGCACACTAGAACATCCTGTTACATCTACTTAGACAGTGAAATTCTAAACAGGGAGGGCTCCTGCCAGGTTTGGCTCTTTGCCTGAGGACGTCACTGATTCCTCTATGCACTAAGTAAAACACCTCAAAAGACAGATTTTGTGTTCTTACTATATTACAGACATTTCATGGATGCATTCTTCCATGAAGATGTTTTTCCTTCTCCCCTGGTAATACAGTAGGACTTACAGATATTCAGTTTGCAGTCTCACAATTTGAAAAGGCACAACTCTAAAAGAGTAAAGGCCCTTAACATCCTGCTCAGCCTGTTTGCTCATTTACAACAGTTTCCATTTAGTCCATCTGTTCTCGGGTAGTCACAGTATTTCACACTGTATATTTCTGCATAAGCCGCCTTACCCATTGCTGCTGCCTCATATTTTGAGTCCAGAACAACTGAAGTCCATCATCTTTTCCTTTTAGAAACAGTTCAACAAAACAAGCAGTTGATATTGCAGCTATATTCTTAATGCTGCTGTTTTATTTATTCACAGATTCTTTGAATTGTTTGACAAATACGGAGGATACAAGTCAGGAAAGATAAAGCTAAAAAAGCCAAAACAACTTCAGGTGAGTGAGATTAATTTCCTTGTTTTTTCCCACGCCTTCTCTCCTCTGCCCCTTTACAAGTAAATACGTTTTATACATCACGAATGATCCTTGTTTTGTTGTCTAAACAGGTGCACTTGGCTTTCTGAACCCACTCAGCCTGTCACTGTGTCATGTTTTTAGAAAACAGTATCCTAAGCTGCCATCTTTCACATGGTTTCAGTCTGGACAAGAGTCCAGCTCTGAATCACTGCCTATGTGTTTACAGGAAGTGCTGGACATTGCCCGGCTGCTACTGGTTGAACTGGGCCAGCACAACGACTGTGAGATTGAGGAGAAGAAATCTAAACTGGAGCAGCTCAAGACTGTCCTGGAGATGTGAGTGACGCCACACATCAGGCACACACTCTCGCACAGACACACACACACACACACACCATCAGTCATCTTGCCGTTTCCTGCCGTCATTCACCAGCAGTTGCCCACACTCACTGGCGGCTGACGGTGCAAAAGTAGCTTCATCTTCCAACACTCCACTGAGGTCCAGTCATCTTTGTCATACTCACAGTCGCACACGTTTGTTATTCTGTTATTCACTCCCTCCCTCCTGTGTCTCTAACTCTTTGCTTTATCTCTTCCTCCCTTCCCTATCCCTCTTTCTCCTGCCCAACCCTTCTGATTTTTCTCCAAAAGGGAATCCATCTTGAATGTCACTCAGTATGCACCCTCTCCCTTCTCACTTTAAAGGATGAGGATTTACCGCCTTCCTTTTTTAGTCTTCAGAGATTGTGTACAAAATATTAGGAACACCTTTTATCTTTCTGACACAGATCAACCTGAATCTAGATGAAAGCTGTGAAGCTTCATCATATTGTAGATGAATGTGCATGAACTGGGTAAAGACGGTAGTTTAGCATTAGTTTGTGTTGGTATTTGGAAAGCATTTCTAATGCTTTGTATACTGAGCGCATCATTTCCAGTAACATCAGTTCATTTTTTGCCATTAACAGTGGACACATATGTTTTTATGCGTGTGCTGTGCTATTGTATGTGCATGCCGTCCTCACCACAAATCACTAGTCTCTAGATCTTCTGTCTTCCTTCCTCTCACCTTCCATCAGCATTTATACTAATTTTAGTAATGTGCTGGTGCAGTAATTTGCTTCTCCACAGAGAATAACCTAGAAGTCCTAAAATATCAAGGTAGAAAAACAATTCTGTCATGAAGTGAATGAGTATAATATGAAAATAATCCGGTTCAGTGGAATACCGCTTTCCCACCAGAAGTACCGTGTATACATGTTTTTATTTTTTAAATACCCGACTAATCTGGCTCTTAACTGGCTTCTAACAGGATTCCCACTGCCGACCGACCTGGCTCGGCTCTCCAGCAGACGAGCTTGTTTCCCCTCTAGTAAGTCATATTTGACGTCATTGCGTTGGTGATGTCAAATACGTGGGCTGGTAAACAAAGCAACATGGGAGCTAGTGAGACGGCCAGCGTTATTTCTTAGTATTTACTTTTGTTCATCTCCTAAAGCATAGAAACTCAGTGTAGACTGAACCATGTTAGAGCGTTGATTAAATGAAAACTGATAGAATTCACGTTGAGGCGGCTGATGGTGACGCGCGTCATTGCGTACGTTCGTGGGTTTAGCCGAGTTTAGCTTTCCTATTGGTTCCAAGCTGAGGCAAAGTGGATAACAACCCATGTTGATTGCAGAGTCATTGGTGCCTGTAGCTGCATTCCCACTGCCGTCAAAAGCCGAGGTGTGGCGAGTTTACACTGGCTACCTGGGCAGTGGGGAAACGGCTAAACGTATTGGCTTGTCACTTTATTTCCAGCTGATACACAGTCCTGGGCAAAAGATGTAGACAGTAAAGTGAAGTGAGGATGCTTTCCCAAACTGCCATGAATAGTTTTTATTTATCAGTAAGTGCAGTAAACAGAGAAAAACTAAACAAAATCAATGAATGGTGTGACCTGTCTTTGTAGCGCCACTTATCACATAGTACATACATGCACAGTTTTTCGATGTACCTCCCTCGGTAGGCAGGTTGTTCCAGGCCTCCTGGACATGCTACAGTTCTGTTGGATTTAGGCTGCATCACTTACATCTGTCTCTTCATGTAGTTACTTTATATCTCAGCCCCTACAGTTGATGCTTCAGATTGTCCTATTCATTGCAGCATCGATCTGCCTCACTTGGCGTTCCTGAGCACTGACTGCAGCGTACCACAAACCTCCTGTAGTTTAGTGCTCAATGCCTTGCCTTGAGTCAGTGGAGTAAAGAGTCTGCTGTTTCCCTCAGTCAAATAATTCTAATTATTTTGTCTGTGTGTGTATGTGTGCTTTACTGTATGTCTGTCTATGTTTGTGCATATCAAAATGTGTCTGCTTTGTGTTTGTGTGTATTTATTCCTACCAGGTACGGTCATTTCTCAGGTATCAACAGAAAAGTCCAGCTGACCTACCTACGTAACGGTCAACTTAAAGCCTCTAGCGAAGAAGAAGGTACAGACAGACTCTCACAGAATTAGTGTTTGTGTCCACAGTAGTTCTTTTTGAATGGTGGTGTGTGTGTGTACTGGTCCCATGTAAACAAGCAACGCAAGTTTGAAAATAAAATAAAGGGTGACCGCACATAAATGGTATTTCAGTTATATACTTCACTTCAAATGTAAGTTGTGGGAAAAGTAAGTTTTATTTTGAGAAATAAGAAGAACTATAATAATCATAGCCATTTACATGTAGTTCAGAGGTTTTCAACCAGTGGTCCTCAGCCCCCCGGGTGGTCCGTGAAGGCACTGCAAGTGGTCTTCACCATGCATTCAGTAATGTAATTTCCTATGGGAATCGCATTTATTTTATTTTTAAACACATTTATATGTATTAATTATAGTGTGAATAATGAAATTCATGCAAGTATATAAAATTTAGAGAAGCTGCTGTGACTTTCAGGATTTAAGTGGTGCCCATCTGGTCTATCCACCATACAACAGTGGTCCTCAGATTGCTTCTTAATCGGAGAAGGGGGGGGGGTGAGGAACACGTGTTTAGCGGGCGCCCAGCAGCTAAATTCTCCCTACACTGCTGCTGGTTTATTGATGTGAAATTTAAGAAGTTCTGTGATTTGACATGACTTGGCAAAATATTGCTGGTAAATAGATAGGTGACATCCATGCTTGTGCAACTTGTCAAAAGAAACCTTGGACACAAAATAACTCAACATTTTGAAGGTGCTAAGTTTTATTGTATAGTGATCAGTGAGAAACTCTGTATCGAAGTCAAGTTCCTGTACAGTATGTTCAAACGTACTTGTTAATTAAAGACTTTTCTGATTCTGATGTAAGTAACAGAAGTGCTGCTGTTTTTCCAGACTCTAAGAAGGACGGCCCATCTCTGCTGTTGGTGCTGAAGTGGGGCGGGGAGCTGACGCCTGCAGGTCGGGTTCAGGCTGAGGAGCTGGGCAGGGCCTTTCGCTGCATGTACCCTGGAGGTCAAGGTATGAACCAGACACACTCACACACTGTACACACCAGCTAATACATGCACTCATTAGGGATCTTTCTGCTTTTGTATGAAACCTTTGGTGGTGTTTTTGTTTGTTTTTTGTGTGTGTGTACTTTTTGTTTGTTTTTTTTGTGTGTGTGTATGTTATTGTTATATTCCTCTGCTGTTAACTAGTTACACAATTCCCACATCTCCTGGTTTTCTCAATTTAATAATTCCCTGACTTTTCACCTCTCAAAACTGCTTAAGCTTGGAATTTCCTTTGAGAGCAAGTGAGCGATAAACACAAACCTACAGAGACATACACACGTGCCTATAACCGAAAATTCAAACATGCACAAAAATATAAAGATAATTTGAGTCCTTTCTGTCTTCCCACACACACCTTTCTGTGCTCCTAAATATTTCTTTCCATCCAACAAATCGGATTTTCAGTGTCTCGGCTCTGTGTTTTTCTTTGTACATTCATAAAGGTGCGTTTATAAAACTGTTGCCAAACTAGAACAATAAAATGGACTGATACATGAAAAGCTAATGAGGTCATGTCAAAATATATTTTTTAATCACAATTCTTTTTAATTTAGTTTGAAAAAAAAAAAAACAACTTAGTGTCTTTATATAATTTTTTTTGCCTCTTCTGTGGGTTTTGTGTTGCAGAGGTGGCTGCTTTTTATAGTCAAAGATTAAACAGGCTTGCACAGTGAAAACCACAGTGGAGATTAGTGGTATCTTTATGTCAGGAGGGTCTGAAGGTCATGAACAAAAATTACTCTGTGGTGACTTTTATTAAGTACACCTGTAAAATCTAATGGAGTCCAATACAACAGCTCAGCCATAAAGTCTGGCTTTACAGAGATACTGTAATAATGTTCTGTTTTTATTGTCAGAGATGTTCATTGCTGAGTTTGTAGTTTGTCGTGGTGTTGAAATGAACTCCATTCACATCCAGTAAGAGAGAAGGGTATTAGGACATTTTAATCCAAACAAAAGTGCAGCTATGAACATATTGGTGAATAAACAAGAACTGGCCTTTATAATGTTTGTAAAAGAATACTACTGATTACAGCAGAGCTGTTGCACTGGATTGCATTAGATCGTACTGTAGAGGTGAACGTAATACAGTAACCAAGGAGTGTGGCTGGATGTTGCTCAAAGTGCGTAAGACAGAAATGTAGCGGTGCTTTTCATCCTCTCAAAGTATAGTTTAGAGCTGATCTTTTTTTACCTTGACCTTTTTAACCAGAATAAAATTTGGTGAGTAAGAGGTCATACCTGCTGGTTACATGAAGATCTCTCTTCCCTTCTAACAAAGTGCACTGGGCTCTGGCGATGCTGTAGTTCTGGAGTTGTGTTGGGTTGAGCACATAATTTACATGCTCTGCTACAATGGACAGATGTTTTCTGACGTCTGCACCATACTGCGTGTGAACGACCCATAATGCTTTGCATGAAAAGAATTCCCAGGAAAAACAACCTGTAGCAGAACTGAACATGATGTAATGGTTAGTTGAAATTTGTCCACCAGTTCCCATCCCAGCTGCTGTTTTCATTCCTCTTTCTCCACCACAAGGTTTGTGTGTTAATACTGCTCTTCTCTTCTTATCTGTTGTTGCACTGTGTAAACTACCAGCCAGTAACCACTGGTCCCTTGGCTGTGAGTCCCCTGTTGACTCTGGTAAGAGAAGCATTTCCTGGACATCACCGCCTTCATTCTGTTGCAACGTCCACTAATTTCTCACCTCCATCAGGATTTTGTTTCATATCACCGTGCGACTAGTCCCGTTTGTACTACCCTGAGATTCCTGTGGATTGTTGTTGTTGTTTTTGCTGTGTTCCCGAGGTGATCCACCATAGCAGATGTTGTTTTTGGTCACTTGCTCATATACACACAGGCAGGTCAATTGATGGCAGGTCTGATGTTTTATGCTATGGTGGATCAATCTCGCATATTTTGGTCATGAGTTCTTGATGTTTTTTGTTTTGAACAAAGCCAGTCTATGCTAGCCTGGATTATAGATCACAACAGGGCTTAAGTTCTCAACATGCATCGGATCTTTCTTTGTCAGAAAGGGCATGACAACCCAGAGCAGTCAATAGTGTAACTTCAGGCTGTTCATCTGTGCACTAATGCATGAAGCATCCGTGTATTTGGTGTGCACCCACCTCCTACAGCTACAGTCTGCAGTGAAGCTGTCTTCAGTCATTTTTGGGATTTGCTCAACATCTATTCACTTCATTTTATTCATAGCTTGAACCACACTGGTCACAAGTCTGACAAAGCATTTTGATGATGTGTTTGAAGTGAAAGTGAAGTTGCAGCTCCTCAGGTGCTGTGTTGCCTGCGTGCCCATGTTTTAATGGAAATTCGTGGTACTTCTAGGTAAAATCAACATGTTTTTTTCCCCCTCTTTTCCTTTAACTACCTCCCTGGTTCAGTTGTTTCTTTTTAATGAGAGTGTTTTTGTACATCTTAGTGCTGTAACCACTGATGCTTTAATCTGTGTACAATCTTCCAGGTGACTATGCTGGGTTTCCTGGGTGTGGCCTCCTGCGCCTGCACAGCACTTACCGCCACGACTTGAAGATCTATGCCTCTGACGAAGGCAGGGTGCAAATGACAGCTGCCGCTTTTGCCAAGGTAATTCTGTCTCAGTACCTGAAAGAATATTTAAGCACTTATGAGGGAACTTTTGACATCTCAAGCTCAGAACATCTTTTTGCATGCTTGAAATCAAATTGTTCCAGCATCATATTATTAATATATTAAGGCTTTAACCACTACTTTACTAATGCATTGGCCAAATGTAGCCTGTTAAATAACCACAAAATGAATGCAGTTCCCTAGGACATCTTAGTCATCGAACACACCGCTCTCACTCGATACCTCCTCAGGTTCGAGTCCTTTTTTTACAGCTTCACTGCTTTCTCCACAAGACACCTTTAGGCAAACATATTTGCTTGTATAGAGTAATGGGGCCGTGGCAGTATGACAATTGAAAACTGCAGGTACGCGTCTGTCATTTGGAATGATTCAGATTTACTAACATACGCACAGGGGTAATAACAAAACGGGCTGGTGTGCGTATCATGAATCTCATGGTAATTTTGTGTGCAATGTAAGAACATTTGTATACACGCATTAGTGAATGAGGTCTTAAGGTTCTCGGGTTTCTTTGCAGGGTCTGCTGGCTCTAGAAGGTGAGCTGACTCCGATTCTTGTCCAGATGGTGAAGAGTGCCAACATGAACGGACTGCTGGACAGCGACAGTGATTCTCTGACTGACTGCCAGCAGAAGGTCAAAGCCAGGCTCCATGAAATCATGCAGAAGGACCTAGAGTTTACACTGGAGGACTATCAGAAGGTATGCGGCAAACCTGAGATGGTGAATTGAACATTTAAATTACTTAGAGCTGCACGATGATCTGTCTCACATAACAATGATTCTGCCATATTTGCATTAGCACGGAGCTCAAACCAAGTGCTCCCTTTTCCTCACTAAGGAAAAATCACCTTCCTGACAGCTTTCTTTCATATGATGGTATGTAGAACATGTTATCAGTTCTCTCCAATTTCCATTGTGTCCCAGTTGGCCCCAACAGCCAGTCCATCATTGGTGAACTCCATGAAGGTCATAGAGAATCCAGTCAAAACCTGTGACAAGGTGCATACCCTCATCCAGAGCCTCACCTCACAGATTCGAAGGAGACTGGAGGACCCCAAGTCTGCAGGTAGTGTGAGCCTCTGCTACCTCAGTGCAAGTTGAGGTGTACACAGGAGAAATATTCAGCTGGTCCAAATGTTTCACTCTGTTAAAGCCAAATTATTTGGTTCAGTCTATCAGCGGGATCCAAGCTGAGAAGGTTGAAATGATCTAATGTAGTTAAATGCCATGTGTATTTTCAGAGACATACTCCTGTTTAACATTTAGCCTCTGTTAAAAGGTGATGGTGGGTCATCTTGTGTTTCCTCCCAGACCTGCAGCTTTACCACAGTGAGACCTTGGAGCTGATGCTGCAGCGCTGGTCCAAACTGGAGAGAGATTTCCGCACGAAGAACGGGCGCTACGACATCAGCAAGATCCCGGACATTTACGACTGTATCAAATACGACTCGCAGCACAATGCCTCGCTTGGACTGGAGAACACGCTGGAGCTGTTCAGACTGTCCCGTGCCTTGGCTGACATAGTCATACCACAGGTCACTTGGCTATGCTAAATATACACTCAGCTGGCAGTTTATTAGGAACACCAGGGTGATGGGAAATGTCTCTCTCGCTTTTTTGTGAAAGTTGAGCATGAATGTATCATTTAAACCTTGTTATTACTAAAAATTTTATGAAATTATTATTGAAATTGTTTATATAATACATTCATGAAGTTGAGCTGCTTTCACACAAAGCCATAGTGACGACGTCATTTCTTTGCTTAACTGAAAAGAAACTGTGCGACTGGAGAAACTGAATAAACTTGTTTTTCCCTGGGCTGGACCGGATTGTTTTTGATTCCGCATCATTAGAAGAGTCTATGAAGATTCGGCAAATTCCTTCAGAATTTGGGTCAGTGTTATAAAACGACAAAACGCAGTTAAAACGTCTGGCAAGTTTCAGTTTCGAACGCTCTCAGAAGATTATCTCTGACTGGAGTGTATCCGATACACGAGTCACAAGCTGAGGCTAAGCTACATTCATTTTATGAATGAGGTGGACAAAATAATTTAAAAATGGCCAGTATAACCTAATAAACTGCCTACAGAGTGTAATCATACTTGTAAAAGATGTATACAAGTTTTGGAATATTAAGCTGCACAAGTTGTATTTCATACAGCCAAAGTCTTAACTGATGTATTTTAATCATCTGTGGGATCCTTATGACCATTAATAAGCAGATTAAAAATAAGGGAATTAAAGTGTTCAAATGGCCTTTTGTTCTTCCATATCAGGAGTATGGCATCAGCAAAGCAGAGAAACTGGACATTGCTCAGGCCTACTGTGTTCCTCTGATGAAGAAAATCCAGCTGGACCTGCAGAGGACCCATGAGGATGAGGCTGTTAACAAGCTGCACCCCCTGTGAGCACCACTAAAGAACACACAAACGTGTAAACGTATATATACTGTAGGCTACATTCAAATAGGCTGTTTGCATATTGCTAATGGTTACTGAGGATTACTGAATGACTACTTGTCATTTTCTGTCTCCTGGCGTTCAGGTATTCTCGGGGTGTAATGTCTCCTGGTCGTCATGTCCGCACGCGCCTCTACTTCACCAGCGAGAGCCACGTCCACTCTCTGCTCAGCATCTTCCGCTACGGAGGGCTGCTGGATGTATGCTCTGGTTTAATGTTATCTGGCAGATTTGTGTTCCTCAGAGTGATGCCGCTCATTCTTCAGCATTCTAATGCTGATAATTGGCCAGAATAACAGTAGATCTAGAAACTGATGCTCCTTTTAATGTTGACCCACCTGCAAGAAGGTTACTGTCCATATAAGATGGAGATGCTTTTTGGTGTGTAAGTCTGTCTGAAGCCATTGTATCAGCAGACGTCTGCTGGAGGGGGATATAAAGAGAGAGTAGTTTAACATGATTCAACATCAGAAATGTTCTGTACTTTAACATCACTGCAATTTTGGCTAAATGACCTTGAAGAGCCACTCAGGAGGCAACTCTCCTGATGTGCACAGCCAGTCCCTTCAGCACTGAGCTGGACAAAACTGTAGGGTTCACTAATGATTGAGTGCAATTCTATGTTGTAAAAATTAGATTTTATTAGTGTTTTGCTGGTAAATACAGACCACTGTCTCACACCATGATGTCACCTTACATGTATTTATGGAATGTGTGTATGTGCACATCGATGCTTATTTTTGTGTGTGTCAGGAGGAGAAGGACCAGCAGTGGAAACAGGCGATGGACTACCTGAGTGCTGTGACTGAACTCAACTATATGACACAGATTGTCATCATGCTGTATGAAGACAACAACAAGGTCAGCCTGTATAGAGCTGCATAACCGTGCCACAAGTGTTTTTTCATTGTATTCAGCCTTACAACTGCACTTTTATGTCTTTATATGTGTGGAAAATAGGACCCCTCCTCAGAGGAGCGTTTCCATGTTGAGCTTCATTTCAGTCCAGGAGTCAAAGGATGTGAAGATGAAGAGAATGTACCTCTTGGTTTCGGCTTCCGCCCGGCCTCTTCTGAGGTGTGTGTGTGAGGATTTTTGTCTCTTTTGGGGTTTTGAGTCACTATTACTCGTTACAGTTTAATTTTTGTTGTTTGTCGATATCAAGCAGTTTTCATTTGCATGTATACTGCCGCTCTGGTATGCAGGCTGTTACCTTGTGTTGTGAAGACATGTACACTCTGTAACAATAAACTGAACAGTCAAAGCATGTTTCGGACTGGAATATGTTCAGAGAGGTTGCCACTGTCAATCAACACATCAATCTGGGGGAGTATACTGAGTCTGTGATGGGATCCATAACTGAGTATGTGGAGGATGTGACCGTCACCAAGAACATCACCATAAGTGCCAACCAAAATAGTGTTTGTGACAGTCTCCTTGTCTTGTGTGATAACAGCCATGCACCATGTTAGTATGTCGTGGTGGTTTTTATTGATGTGGAGCCATGGACAAGAATATATTTGATGTAATAAATTTCACTCTCATGTTCACTCACCAAATCAGAATGAAGACAAAATGCCAAACCAGGGTAGTCTAGAGGACCTCTCCCGCGACCAGCCGGACCAAGCACTTCTTATTTCTGAGCCGATCAGCATTCTGCGAAGGTCTCCCATGATTCGCGGTCGCAAAGCAGGTTCCATGGAGGTATCATAATGTTGATGTTTTACAAGTAGACAGTATGTATGTAATATTAATAGTGCTACAACACTCAGTGGGTGTGATTGGGCTGTTTTTGTGTTTCCACATACCAGTGTTGTTCAGTAATAGTACGTGTTTCTTTTTTTAATCAAATTTCTGTAATTTTCTTTAAGTGAATGGTCTCATCAGGTCTTATTTACTGGGGTAATGATCTTAATCTTAACTCCTGGTCTCTATGGTCCCACTTAGGTTCTCTCCGAGACCTCTCCCAGCCAGTCCTCCAAAGGCTGCACAACCCACAGACTCTTCCCCTTGTGTTCACGCCAGTCTCCTGAGATCAAACCAGCCAGTGGCCTAGGTGGGCATCTCATGTCTGGTTTGTGTTTTCTGCATATGAGACAGAGTGTTTATGCCAACAGACACATTGACATCACATTTATCTTCAGCTGTCGTCATTGACCTCGTCCTCATCACAAACTCCTCGGCTATGACTTCTCCCTCACCCACCTACGCATCGTTCCATCTCTGTCATTGTTTTCTGTTTGTCCGTCTTTCCCTCTTTTACTATCTCATGGTCACATAGCTTCCAGCATGACTTAGCAGCAGCCAAACAGGATCAGAGTCTGAACTATGTGGGCGAGCGGTCATCAGAGAGTTGCTGACATTTAACTGCAAGAGCATTCAGAGATGTACTGATGTCCCGACTGTGTGATAAGGTGACACCAGAGGACGTTTACTGCATTTTGCCATTTTTCTGTTTAATTTCAAAGTAAATAACGCTGCAGAACTGATGTGGGACTAATAACCCATTTCTCAGTCATAAAACCATTCTGGATCACAGTGTTGTAGCCGCTACCCTCATGAAAAAACCCCAAACTTTTGTTGTGCTGTGTGTGCAGTTCCCAAGGGCATGTGATCTCCAACAACCTGCTAACATGGTGACACTTAAACAAGCGTGCAAGGCAAAATTAAGATGTGGAGAAAACCATTAATGTGAGAATGGGGAGTGGAGTCACTCTGTGCTTCAGTGGAGTAGAAACCTGTGTGTCATACCTGGCTACTTTAAACAGCTTCACTAGTTAGTTTAATATCACCCAAGAATATGTGGTGCTTTTGAAAACATATTGTAAATGTCACCAGGTTTTTAATCTCCACTGCGAGCAGGAACATTAAATAGATTGAAAAATACAGTATATTAATTAGCTCTTAAGGACCTTTTGCATGCAGTTAGAGTACCCGAAAATACCCCAGGAAAAGAAGTTCATTCTAGTTTCACATGATTGCACTGCTTTTGCATTTGGTGCAGTTTGTTTCTTGTTTGCACAATTAAGACCTAATGGTCAAAATTTTAAAAGATGGATGTCAGCAGTACAGGTATGTGCCAAAAAATTAGAATATCGAGGAAAAGTCCATTTATTTCAATAATTTGTTTCAAAAAGTGAAACTTGTATGTTATATTAGTTCACTACACACAAAGTGAAATATTTCAAGCCTTTATTTGTTTCAATTTTGATGATTATGGATTAAAGACAAAAAAA